GAATGCTGGCTGGGGGATTCTGGGAGTTGAAGTCCAGACATCTTCAAGTTGACAAGGTTGAGAAACACTGGGTTAAGTGAATCACGGCCATTGATACGGTTGTTAAGTGAATCTGGCTTCCCCATTGACTTTGCTTGTCAGAAGGTCGCAAAAGAGAATCACATGACTCCGGGACACTGCGACCGTCATAAACATGAATCAGTGGCCAAGGATTTGAATTTTTTGATCACGTGACCAAGGCGGATGCTGCAAAGGTCATAACTGTGAAAAATGGCCAGAAGTCATTTTTCCCAGTGCTGTTGCCACTTCAAACGGTCACTAAGTGAACTGTTGTAAGTCGAGGACTACTTGTGTAGCCCACAGCAGGATAACGAGCAGAGCAAAAGCTCAGCATTGTACTTTGAATTGTAAGATTTGGGACATTCTGTTCAGGAAACCTTCCAATTAAGTGGAATTAGCTCAACTGATTCTGAGATGGTTTGCCAATCAAGCTTAAATTCTTTCCTTTCTCATTTACAGCCTGAGAAACTAGGGAGAGTTTCTTCTTTTTTTTAAAAAAAATAGTTTTTTTAATTTTTGTTTTCATACAGGTAACCACAAGTATAGCATTATATCTTAAGCAGCACTATTTTGTGTTATCCAATATTATATCAGTTCCTCTTACACAGGGACTATCATTTGTTCTTCTGCTTTTCATATATCCTCTCCACCACCATCCTGCCTTCTCTCCCTCTCTCCTCCTCCCTAACTCCTTTCTTCCCTCTACCATCCCTCTCTTCTCTACTTCCCCTTCCTCTCTTTCTCCTCTCTCCTCTTTCCAATCCTTCTCTCTCTCCTACTCTTTTCCTCTCTCTGCTCCCTCTCTTCTATCCCCTCTGTTCCTCCTCCCTACCTCCTTTCTTCCCTCTACCATCCCTCTCTTCTCTACTTCCCCTTCCTCTCTCTTCTTTCCACTCCTTCCCTCTCTCCTACTCTTTTCCTCCCTCTGCTCCCTCTCCCAAGGGAGAGGGTCTTCTGAGTCTCTCGCCCCACTCATTGCAGGTGCCTCGACTTACGACGACAATGGGGAGCAGAATTTCCATTGCTGAGCAAGCTGATTGTTAAGTGAATCTCTGCCTAATTTTACGACTTCCTCCTTGTCAGTGTTGTCAAGCAAACCACAACAGGGTTAAAACGAAAACGGTCCACTTTAGCCTTGAGAAGCCTTGACTTATCTGTATTCAGGGCCCTTTGATTAAGGAACGGCAATGTTTATTTTATTTTTTTCCCCTTTCAGATTACATTGAGGAATGAATTGTCACTTTTGCTTTGCGTAAAGGACTTGCGTGTAAAACAAAGGGCAGGGAAGTTAATAATTACTTCATTACCTTGGAGAACAAGGGTGTGTGTGTGGGTGGGTGTGGGGGTGTGTGCGTGCATGTGTGTGTGTGTCCGTCCATCCGTCCATTTCTCCTCCCCCAGTTTACAAATATCAGCCGATGAAAGATAAGGTCCTTTGGCAAATGGGGCTGAAATTTGCAACCAAACCTTTGTTGTGCTGTGAATTAATTTTAGGGTACAGATAAGTCCTCGACTTACGACCCGCAGTTTGGGATGATAATTTCTGCTGCCAAGCAAGGCAATGAGTCATCCTTCACAACCTTTTTCTGCCATGGGTTTTAAGCGAACGACCAGCGGTTACATAAATCATGCAGCGGTTTAAGGAAACGGGGGTGTCCTTGTCGGAAGCCACCTGGGAAAGGAGGCATGTGGCGACCACAACCTGGGAATGTCGCATCTGTCGTGAATACATGTCGGTTGCAATACAAGCACCTGAAATTTTGATCCCATGATCATGGGGAAATTGCAACGCTCATAAGCGCAAGGACTATTGTTAAGCGCAAAAATGGAAAGAGACTTTGATACCTACCATGGACGAATGGCTGCAGAAGTTGATGGAGTGGCTGAAATGACAAAACTGACCACTCTGACCAAAACAAAGGACATCAGTACTTTTGTTTCCACATGGAAACCGCTTCTGAACTTCTTGCTTGATGTGGAAAAGAATGAAACTTTTTGACTTTAGGTTTTATAGATTAGATGGATAGGTCTTTGTAGAAATGATTAAAGACAAGAACATCAGTACTTTTGTTTCCACCTGGAAACCACTTCTGAACTTCTTGCTTGATGTGGAAAAGAATGAAACTTTGATTTTGGGTTTTACAGATTAGATTCTTCTAGAAATTATTTGTTCAGAGGTGGGTTTCACATAATTTTACCACTAGTTTGCCGCGCAGTGAAAATGCGAGCCTTTTGCAAGCGTGCTTTGCTCGCACGTGCAGATTGCAGACATGCTTAGAAAACGTGGCTAAATAGGATGGCATAGCGCCAGGTTGGGTGGGCGTGGCCACCCCCACCCACAGGGCGCCACGACCAGTTGGCCTGAACCGTTCTGAACCGGCTAAATACCATCACTGAACTTGTTCCTATTACTCTGGAAAAGCAAAAAGCTGTGATTTAATGCTACTGCTCTCTGCAACAGAGAGAATGAGAAGTCAATGTTTCTTTTTCTATTTTCTTATCCTTCCTCACGTCTCTTCCCCTTTTCCTTCTCATTGTTCTATTATTTACTTTTGTATTTTATATTTTAAAATACTTAATAACCTAATTAAAAAAACAACCAATTTTGTTGGATTTATTTTGTGCAATGACAATAAAGGCTGTTGGGGACATTTGGCAGAAAAATAAGTGCAACGACTGGTCGTAAGTCACTTTTTTTGGCGCTATTGTGACTTTGAATGGTCACTAAACGAATGGACGTAAGTTGAGGACTACCTGTCTCCAGCTACGGGTTCTGCTGTCCCATCTTTGCTCAGGGTCCGAAGTTTTCCCCATCTACTGTTGCACCAGGTCAAATCCGGAGAACAGCAAAGATCATGCAGAGACAGGAAGGACATCCAGCTAGTCCTCGACTTAAAACAGTTCATTTAGTGAACAGTTCAAAGTTACAACAGCCATGAAAAAAAGTGACTTGACAGTTTTTCACACTTACTACCATTGCAACATCCCCAGGGTCATGTGATCAAAATTCGGATGTTTGGCAAACCGACTCATAGATGGTTGCAGTGTCCCGGGGTTGCGTGATCCAATTTTGCGACCGTCCGAAAAGCAAAGTCAACGAGGAAGGCAGTAACCAGGTTACTAGCTTAAACAACAGAAGTGATTCACATAACAATCATGGCCAAAAAGGTTGTAAAATAGCGTTGTAAAATTCACTGAACAAATGTCTCACTTAGCAACATCAATTTTGGGCTCAATTGTGGTCATAAGTCGAGGACTACATGTGGTGACTGTTCAAAGTCACAAGGCACTGAAAAAAGTGTCTTTTGGCCATTTTTCACTCTTACAACCATTTCAGCATCTCCATGGTTACTTGATCAGAATTCAGATGCTTGGCAACTGACTCACATTTATGACGGCTGCCGTGTCCCAGGGTCATATGATCCCCCTTTTGCAACCTTCTGACAAGCAAACTCAAAAGGGAAGGCAGATCCATTTAACAACCGTCTTACTAACATAAACAACTATAGTGATTCACTTAACAATGGTGGGAAGAACGATGGTAAAATGGGGCCAAATTCGCTGAACAAATTTTCACTTAGCGACAGAAACTGTGGTGTAAGTTGAGGACAGCCTGGAAAAGACAGGCAGAAGCCTGCTCTCACTCCAAGCTGTTTCCAGTGACAAGAAAGTTTGTAAAACTCACTGAACAACTGCCTTACTTAGCAACATAAATGTTCAGAAAATTCAGTTGTGGTTGTACGTCGAGGAGCACCTGTATACAGGAGAGGTTTTCTCACAACACACAAACGCAAACTGTCAGAGGACACACAATGGCTAAATCCTGGCCTGGCCAAAAGGCCTTCTCTGCCGTCCAGTGGGCTGGTGCCCCTTACTAGAGGTCTCAACCGTTGGCTCAACCGTTGCTTCCCCTTCTCCAGACCCCTTCCGACTAACAAAGCCACGATTCCCACTCCTGGGTGGTTCTGGCCCCCCAACTCACCACTGGCAGGTTCTTCTCCACGCTGGGGGGCACATCGTAGATCTCATGAGCTCCACTGTTGGCAGTCTTGCCCATCATCGCAGGGCTGTCGTAGACCTGGGCAAAGGAGACATTGTGAAGCTGCAAGCAATCAACCAAAGTCCCTCCATAATTGTCTCCGCCTCTCGTCTCAGGATATGGAACTATTGCAGGCCTCGTGGCTTAAACCCCCTCCTGATATAAGTAGCCTCTGGCTTCTTCATCACCCCCTTTCTTTGAGAAGAGAATCATGGGGCCACAGTGGTCAGAACGTGGTACTGCGGGCTAATTCTGCCAAGTGCCAGCAGTTTGATTCTCACCAGGCTCAAGGTTGGCTCAGCCTTCCATCCTTCTGAGGTGGGTAAAATGAGTGCTGTTGCCCTTCCTTCATCCTCTCCTCCCTCTTCCTTCCTTCCTTCCTTCCTTCCTTCCTTCCTTCCTTCCTTCCTTCCTTCCTTCCTTCCTTCCTTTCTAACAACCACGGCAACAAAGGTCATAAAATGGGGCAAAACTCACTGAACAAATATCTCACTTAACAGAAATGTGGGGGGGATCAACCTGGTTGTAAGTTGAGGACCACCTGTATAACCCCTTCCTCCCTGCTGCTATTGCTGAAGCAGGCCAGAAATTGGCAGGGCCGAATTCGGATGGGGAGAAGAGGAGGGTATAAATGTAACAACATAAATAAATAAAAGTCAAGTGATCGTTAAAGAATCCGCATATGTCCTAAGCCCAGTTTTGACCAGTCTTGGGCCAGGAGGGTAAAAATGGGGTGTGTCCCTGCCACGTCCGTCCCCCCCGTTGCCCCCTTGCCCCAAGAGACAAAGCCAGCACACTCACTTCCTGGCCACTCCGGTTCACCATCAAGCCCCTTGTGGGGGGCACGTCGTAAATCTCCTGGAGCTGCCGAGGAATGTCATACTCGTCCTGCTGCTCTCCTTTCGGACAGGTCTCGTAAACGTAGACTTGCCCCACCCGTGTGGGGATCACCACCTGCAGAGGAAGGAAGGGGAGGCTTCAGAGCCAGGTGGAGGTGGCCGGGAAAGGAAGATGGCCGACTCTATCAAGAACCTGCTTCAGCACCTCGTCCTCTTGGCAGACCCTCACTGGCAGAAGATCCTTTCCAGATGCCGGACTAGCAACATGGGCATCTGGATAGAGGCCACTCTAGCAGAGGCCTGCCATGGAGGACCAGAGGGCCTTGGGGATGAGCAGCATCCTCCCTGCTGGTGCCCACCTGCTCACCTGTTTTGGCAAGGTGAGCAAGCTTTCCTGGCACCACCGTGGAAATTTGTTTGATTGTCTGATCTAATTTCAGAATGGCTGAAGAATTGGCAAAATGCTACCCTGTGGTAAGATGGGCAGTCCATAAATTGATTGATTGATTGATTGATTGGATGAATAGATAGCTAGATGATAGATAGATAGATAGATAGATAGATAGATAGATAGATAGATAGATAGATAGATAGATAGATAGATAGAGGGGAGAGGGAGAGACAGAGAGAGACAGAGAGAGAGAGAAAGGGAGGGAGAGAGAGATATGATAGGGAGATAGATGATAGAGATAGGTAAGATAGAAAGAGAGAGAGATCGGATGGTATTCCTAATACCTTGCAAATGTTGTCATTTTCTCATTCTGAAATCCACAATGTTTGAATCCTCTCACCCCAGAACCTCTGAATTTTTAGTGGATTCAGCTTGAAATTTTGACAGGTTCATGAGGTATTTTTGGTTCATGCTCTGAATTTCAATTTTGGGTGAGAATACTGAAATCCTGCATTAAAAGCTTTTAGGGGTCTTCAAATTCTCTCTCTCTCTCCCTCCCTCCCTCCTGCTCTCTCTCCCTCTCCTTTCCTCCCTCCCCTCTGTAGGTGTAGGTTTTTGCAGGAATTCAAGCAGACTCTTCTTGAGCCCAAACGAGTCAGCAAATGGTCCATTATTTTGCATCCCGACGCTACAGAATGGATCTTTCCTAGCTGCAGGAACTGGATCTGGCAATCCATGCAAGGATCCCTCTTTAAACGTGGTCTGCATGCCCGCACGCACACACGAGGTGCAGCCAACACTTTCTCCAGAAGGGGGCACTGACCACCCACCAACTTCTCCTCGCCAGGCGCTGGCTGCAGGAACTGCCCTCCCCAGGGAAGGGCGGAATGACATCACCTTCTATTTTTAGAGAGGAGCCATGGAGGGGCTGAGGGTTGATGCACAATGAGGGCTGTTTCCCTCCTGGGCGAAAGGAGAGACCCTGGAGCCAGGAGCAGCCTTCCCAGCTGTTGTTTGTTTGCAGAGAAACCACACGCACACACGGACACACACACACACACACACACACACACACATGCACAAACCCTGCAGCCAGTGGAGGCTGTGCCAGCGACACTGGAGGATTGTGTGCCCTCCAGCTGCTGTCACCCTCGATCGAGGCAACTCAGAGCCACATCGAGCAATTCAACGTCAAAGTCGGCTTCAACAACCCCCCCCCCCAAAACAAGCGGGTTTTTTGCAATGGCAAAGGTCTTTGGATGTCTAGTGTCAGATGCCAATTAAGAGTAAGATCGCTTGGATCCTGAAAACACCCCTGGCCCCATTTCAGTTCACCCTCCTGGGCTGATTCCTTTGCAATCCTCTGCACACACGAACACACATTCTGTCTTCTCTGACTCCCTCCCTATTATCCATCCATCTGTCTGTCTGTCTATCATCCATCCATTCATCCACCATCCACCATCCATCCACCATCTATCCATCATCCACCCATCCATCCATCCACCATCCATCCACCATCTATCCATCCATCCACCACCCATCCATCATCTATCCATCCATCCACCATCCACCATCCATCCACCATCTATCCATCCATCCACCACCCATCCATCATCTATCCATCCATCCACCCATCCACCATCCATCATCTACCACCTAGCCATAC